CTGCCTGCAGTGCATGAGCAGCACCCAAGGGGAGGGTGAGAAGTAGGAAGGGTGTTGCTGACCACCAGTCCCGGCCCCTGCCCTGACTGAGCAGCAGCACCCCAAAGATCTTGAGGACCTGTTTGCAGGTGAGGGGAGTCCTGTGATATGTACAGGTGGTTGCATTGATGTGTTGGTGTGTGTAAGGGACATGTTTGTGTGACCATGTCTGTTTGCAGTGAGTGAGTGGGGGGTCTTCCATGTTGGGAGAGGGGGTGTGTCTGTCAATGCAGTTGCACGTGTTCTGTAAGGATGTGTTTCATCCTGTCGCTTCTGATAAGCATCATGTGAGGGGATATTGTGTCAGCTGGTGACAGTTTGTGTATGGCCAGTATCTGTGGATGACAAGGGTGTGTTCTGTGTGAGGTGTGTGAGGGAATGCTACGACTATTGGTGTGTATTAGATGTCTGTGAGGGGTGAGAGGATGTGTGCTGTGTCTGTGGGTGACAAATTGTGGTTGTTTGTCCATGAGGGGGATGCTGATGGGAGAGAAGTCAGAAATAACCCAGCTCTGCGGGCCCCTCCAGAGCCTAACCAGCCTCAAGACTTCTGCAGGGAAGCTAGACAAAGCAGCCAAACCTGACCCTCTCACCAAGGCAACCAGCCTCTTACCTGAGAAACAGCAGGGATGGTGATCAGGGAGGTGAAAAAGAGCCTGAGGAGGAAGGGAGCCACTGAGAGCATGTTTCCCGGACAACTTCTCAGGAACACAGGAAGCAGGGCAGGGACGGGGAAGGAGGCAGATGGCAGGCCCAGACTCAAGTGTGAATCACTTTACGCTTCAATCCCCATTAGGCAGAATTAGGGAACGCCTGTGGGCTCTGCTGGCTGGGTAGGGCATGTGAGGTCAGGAAGTCAGCTCCTTGGGTGGGGCCCCAACCCCAAGGTCACTGGGAATACCTGATCCAGCCAGGGAGTCTCTGCACAACAGGTCTGCCAACAATACCAGGCTGGTCCCATCCAATGCTGAGCCCCTCTGGGAGGAAGGGCTGGGCCTGGGCTGGCAGAGGAGGGAGGAACTAGGTCCTTGTCTGAGGGAAGATGGGCCCTGACCCAGAGAAAGTCCCAGCCCTGTCCCTCAGGAGCTACCAGTCTGGGGGAGTGGGGGGTATACAGCCTTGTCCTCAGGAGCCCAAGCTTCAATGGGAACAGCCCCAAATCCAGTGTGACCCAAGCCGATGGAAAAGACCCAAAGCTGCTTTCAGAAGACCCCCCTGTCTGAGGGGACCCACAGCCAGTCTTGCCCAGAGGAGACAACAATCAAATGGGTGTGACACAGCTCTGCTCACAGGTGTCCCCGACCAAGGAAGAGACAGCCCTGCCTTCAGGAATGCCCTGTCTGTTGGAAAAGAGAAAAATGCTGCTTTCTGAAGCCACCTCCAGCTGAGAGGGAGAAAAAGCCATCCCTGCCCTCATAACCCCCAGTCTGAGACAGAAGACAAACCCTTGGCCTGACCACGGCAAAGGACCACAGTTCTAGCAAAAGCCTAGAACTGCACTGAAAGGTGCTCCTTATCTCTACCTCCACACCACCCCTCCCCCAAATATCTGATTGGGCTTAGCAGGACACATAGGCCACAGAGGAAAGCAAACTGGGCTATGGCATAGGTTGACATTCTCATGTAACAATTCTAAGAATCCACTAGAGTGGGGTTTGACTGCTGCCTCTGAAGCCCTGCACTGAACTCAGTTTCTTGGGTCTGTACCACACACACAAACACACACCACCACCATCACCACCACCACCACCACCCTCAATATGAATCTGAATCTTCAGGGAAACCAGAAAATGTCTTTTTTTTTTTTTTTTTTCCTTTTTGGGCTGCTGGCCGGTATAAGGATCAAACCTTGAACCTTGGTGTTATCAGCACCACACTGTAACCAACTGAGCTAACCAGCCAGCACAGAAAATGTCTTCTCAACAGTACGTCAGGTGTCCAAAATCTTCAGGTCTTTCACCCAATTCTTGGAGCAGGGAACATCATGCTGCGGGACTGGGACAGGGCAGAGTGGCTACTCTGCACACAGCTGTGCTGGGCATCTGGCTTCCCTGATCTCCTCAACCCTGAAGAAAACACATGTGAGAGATGAGGAAGCTGAGGCCCAGAGAAGTTTCAAGACTTGCACAAGGTCTCCCAGTTCATAGTGAAGCTAGGATTCACACTCCAGTCTGTCTGACACCAAACCCAGGCCTGTTGCCTCCGTTTGCCTGGCTTGTTCTTTTTACAATAAACAGAATCGCACTAGAGTTCACAAAACAGGAGGGGAGGAAGTATTTTGACCCTCATTTTACCAAAGAGGCGGGACCTGAAGTCCAGAGAGGGCAAATGACTTGCCAGGGTCACAAAGCTAGTGAGTGGCAGAACAGATACTCAAGAAGGTGACTCCAAGCCCCTCCTGGGTTCATCCCATGATACTCTTTTAGATCTCTGAGCCCCTGATTCCAATGGTGAGAAGTGCTGATAATCTCCAGCAAGGGGGCAGAGATGATCCAGATGTACTAGGACAGGGTTAGGAGAGGGGGGAAGGAAATGGAGAGGAGCAAATCTTGCTTCTCTGAGGTTCCACCCTCAGAGCAGGTACAGAACCATCTACAGCCTCCCACATACTTCCTCTTACCTCCACTGGGGCTTCAGGAAAGCCAGAGGAGCCAGAAGGTCAGGCCTGGCTGTGGCTGCCCCAGGAAGCAGGTGAGAGGCCACAGCCAAGGGGTGGGGGATTAAGGTGACTGGAGTGCCAAAGGTGACTGATGCTTTTGGTGGATACACTTGGTTTTAAAGGTACAAGTGCCAGGATTCTAACCCTACCTGACTGGCACCATTTACCTCACCTCTGCCCACAGTAGTCCCCTGGGCAGCGATTGTGTGCAGTGGGAGGTGCAGGGGTGATGGTTATCTGCCCCATCATTTACAGCAAACCACAGGAAGAAGAGAGAAGTGGCTCATCCAGCCTTTCTCTCTGGGCCCTGGCTCTCCACCAGCAAGCCCTTCCTGTACGAAGAGCTTCCATTAACCTATTCACAGATGAAGGGGCTGGAGAGGCTGCCACAGCCACCACCACCACCACCACCCCGCTCTTGAGGCCAGTGTTGACTGCTGCCTCTCAACTCAATGCCCAATGCACACTGCTCTCCCTAGCTAGGTCATCACTGAAAAGACTGAATGGAGCAGGGTTATGAGAATGGACTGGGACCACTGCTGATCTTCCAAGTGGGTCTGTGGCTAAAATGTACCAGAAACGATACAGGTAGACTTTGGTACATTTGGGAAAATAGAATATCCTGACTAAAACCCAAATTCTTTAATATGACTTTATGATCCCCCTGGTCTCACCTCACCCCACTTCTGTGCTCCAGGTATAACAAAGAATATTCAATTCCAAGAATGGGCTCTTAGCACTAGGCTTTTGCACATGCTGTTCCCTCTGACTTAAACCACCTCCTCTGCAGTCCTACCCATCTGTGCCACACACTGTTAGTTGCTCCCAGCAGACATTCTCCCTTTCTTCCTTGCCAACGAAACTTTATTAGAAACAGTAGGTGCCCAGCCCCAAGTAACAAGGCTTGCTCTATGGCCTGTGTATTGTCCTTTGCTGCTTTCCCAAACTTAACATTAGGTGTCCATGCGACCTGTTTTCTGACCAATGACATTTTCTAGGGAAAACCTTCCTTCCTGGATGACTTCTTCCTGCTTGGCAGTTATTAATGAGGTGTGGTTCTGCCGCAGCCTTCTTGCAGCAATGGTATGATAAGCCCTCCAGAGAGGATGGAGGGGCAGCACAGTAAGAGCCTGCTTCCTTGGTGGTACTGTTGAGCCCATGAACGATACTTGAAACTACCTGCCTCCAGACTTATGTGAACAAAATATTCCCCTATTTATTTCTGCCAGTTATTCCTTGCAGCTGGAAACATTCCTAACTGATGCATCAGCCTCTAGGTTACAAATTTTAAAAAGATTACTTTCTCCAGGAAACAATCTCTGGCTGCTAAGAACACAATCAAGGGCTGCCTCCTCAGAGTCGTGGATGCATTGTTCACTTGCCCAGTGCCCCAGTTGTGAGGTGGGCAGCAGGGGTCCTGTGGTGTTCACTATTTTATTTCTAAACCAGCATATTTGTTGAATGAATAAGCACACTTGTAGCTGATTGCTGGCACAGCCCCCTTGAACACAAAGATGAGCTTGCAGATGGTTCAACTGAATGACCACCACCTACCCTTTAAGGAAGGGGTGGGTGTGTGTACTCACATGCTGCAGTGAGGTGGGTGTCACTTTGCCTGACTAGTAAAGATTGCTGTTGCTCCCTGCACAGGACAGTCTGCATTATCTCATGACAAGTATCAATTCTGCAGGGTGACTGAACATTTCCCTCCCTCCGCCTTGGTCCCATTTTAGCCAGACCGACACTCTCCCACCCACCCCTGCGCTCTAATTCATGTGGTTTGGATGTGCTCACCTATACTTGGAAGAATAGTAAGACACCAAAACTTCTGTTCCCTTCCACTGAGAAGCAAATCAAAGTTGCAGTATCTCCTGATACCATAAGACACTGTGCCTTTCATAATCAGTATAACTGTCTACTTGTCTACAAGACATTGCAAAAAGTAAAAAGTCTAGTTTCAAGTCACCCAGTTTCTCATAGCTTCACATTTCATGTGTCACCTTTTTTTTTTGGAAGGTGGGGGCAGCTGGCCTGTACAGGGATAAAACCCTGAACCTTGGTGTTATCAACACCATGCTCTAACCAACTGAGCTAACTGGCCAGCCCGAGTTATATGCCATGGCTAATCCTCCCTAAAAGCTACCACAGTAATTTATATTCCCATTCTGTAGATGAAGAAACTAAGGTGCAGCAAGTGAGTGGCAGGGAACCAGTTCGGTCCAACCCCAAAGCGTTTTGGGGTTGAGCCAAGCCAGACAAGGGACCCACCCTTGGAATAATACCTGAGGGAAGAGTACATCAATGGTTTGAGTATAAAAATTTATTATACATCAAGAATATTGCCACTAACAAATACAGACAGGCTAGGACATAATGGTAGTGGATAGGGAATGGATAGCTCTTTGGAAAGTGAACAGGTTTTGGCTCAGAGCCTCATGCCACACTGATTGGTCAGTCAGACGGAAGAGCCCATGCCAGTCACCACAGGGTATCAGGGCATCAAGTGACTGCTCTGTGTGCCCATACTGCCTTCGCCATCTGACCTGGGGCTTCCAAGGGTGGCACACCCAGAAGAAAGCAACTGAAGAAAAGGGGATTCCTAAAGTAGCCCAGGCTTGTCTCTGAAGTCACAGCAACACCATTTTAAGCAATATGTTTAATTGGATGACTTCCACAAACTATACACGAAGTTTCTAACCATCACAATTCAGCAAAGTACAAAACATTAAGTTACAGGCTGTAGGAAAAGAAGACACCACCAATGGTGACACCTTCCAATCCCAGTTGTTTAGGGGTAGGGGGTAGGGATGGTCTTTTTAAAACCAAGCCCCTTATTTCAATGTACAAAAGAATTACTCTGATCGATATTAAATTGTATTGAAAACAAAACGAACTAAAAAGCAAGTACTACTCTATGTTGGGGTGGAAGTGGGAGAAAAGAATGAGTCCTTCAAAGCAGGAAGGAAGAGAAGTGGGGGAAGGTTGTGTGACCCCAGGTGGTCACTCACGCTGCTCCATTTTTACTTTTGGGGGTCTCAGGAAGGTCCGATTTTTCTTCTCTTTCTTCCCCTTTGTATTTGCTTGGAAGTTTCGCCAGCTGTCAACACGACCATCTCGACTTTCCTAAGCACAAAAGAAGTTTGAGGTGAGGAGACTAATTAACAAGAGGAAGGGACTGAACCTGCCCTGCCATCCACCCTCCGTCCTATAGCCCAGCCCTTTTCAGCCCTCCAGCATAATCCAAGAGTAGAACAGAGCAGAGCTTTTCTCCCACTTCCAGAGGCCCAGGATAGTGTCATACCATCCCTAGAAAGCAGGATGAGCCGCAGGTTGGAAGAGGAGGATAAAATGAGTAATACTCATCACAACATGAGGCCCCATTTGTTGGGAATCTCTGGGCTAGATATTAAGCATATGTTATTTGTTTCTAATCTTCACAAAAAGCTGACCACATTGTGTATGCCACCAGCATTTCACAAATGATGACACTGAGGCTCAGAGTAGTTAAATTCTTTTCTCAAAGCCATACAGCTAGCCAGCAGGAGAGCCACTCTTTCCACTATACCTTCCTATTCCTGCCCCCCCCAAACTTGGATGAATGACCCAAAGCCAGTATAATGCCAAGCCAGTTGTGCTGATAGGGCCACTAGGATCCCTGCCTCATTTATCATCGAGCCTACTCATTTTCTCTCTTCATACATGAGGTTAAACAGAAACAAAGTCATCAACTCTAGTTAGCCAACCTCTACCCTGAGTCCTAAATCCTACAGAAGAAAAGACCAAATGTTGCTACAATCCAGAAATTGGCCTAGCACCAGAAGGATGTAATCAGGGAATCAAAGAAGAGCCAAGTTCAAAAGTCATTAACTCTCTCTCTAGGCAGGATACTGGGGTCACAAGAACTGTGGTTTCTACTAACAAACCTCTAAGTAGGGCGTTACTCCACGTTTACCCTATAAACTAAAGCTGTAATCCATTTTTCTTGAGCCCACTTGACAGCTGTGCTTACTGCAATTTCTAAAAAACCATTCAGGGATCCATACTGCCCTTGCTACAGCTATGGAGCTTATAGGAGGCTGAGCCAGACCAGACTCATTCTTTACAGCTCCCACTCTTCCCCACATACTCCATTTCTCTCTGACTGTCTGCCCAGTCAGTCCTGAGAATGCCCCAGCAACGAAGTTTCCTTAGTCTGGAATAAGAATCCCCAGCCACCCTGGAAATTACCTCAAAGTTCTTCTGCCACTCCCTTTCTCGTTTGGCTTTTTCTTGAGCTTCAATCTCTTCTTCCCTTTGTCGTTTCCTAGAAGGAAAACCATCCAATAGTATTTACGTGATACTTATAGACTGTGTTAATAACACACGTTAAGAAGGCATCTCCACACAGAAGCTAGCATATAAAGTAAACTAATTCCCAGAGGAGAGTCTGTCTTGCTCTCTCTGCTCTCTCTGCTTCCACCATCTTGCAATGTGAGACCCCTGGGTCACTGTTGCCACCACCAAGACCCTCATCAGACATGTTCCCTGAACTTTGAACCTCCTAGCCTCTAAAACTGTAAGCAATACATTTTGTTTTTTCTTTATAAAAATAAATAAATAAAGTAAATCAATTCCATAGAAATCTATGAAGATGGTTATCTGCAAAGGGCTCAAAGCACTTTCATGACTGTCTCATTCTAAAACATGCAGATGAGGGCCGGCCCGGTGGCGCACTGGAGAGTGTGCTGCTTGGGAGCGCGGCAGCGCTCCCGCCGAGGGTTCGGATCCCATGTGGAGACCGGTTCCTGCTCACTGGCTGAGCGCGGTGCAGGCGCAACACCGAGGGTTGCGATCCCGTTGCCGGTCCCCAGTACGGGCGCGACACCGAGGGTTGCGATCCCGTTACCGGTCAGTAAAAAAGACAAAAAGGAGGAAAAATAAATAAATAAGTAAATAAAAATAAAACATGCAGATGAGATCGTGGGCAGGGATGTGGGAAAAGATATAAATATCCCCATTACATAGATACACAGATAAGGTAGTTAAGGCCCAACCAACAGTGGGGTTTGGGGCTCAGTCAGTGAAAAAGCAATGTCTAGAACACAGGCCACCTTATTTCAGCAGTATAATCATTATAATAACAGAAGTCATAACCCAAGAGGACCTCTGGACAAACCTTATCCCAAAACAAGGACATTTCATACAACAACCTTAACTAGCAAAATATAGTTATTGCTAAACACCAATCAACAATACAAAACACACAAACCAAACTAACCTCAATATTTCTGATAATCAAGAGAAATCATAATTTAGAATAAACATTTTGTAAGTGACTATACTGTACAATACTTACCAAAGCTGCAGCCACTAGTCCCACAAAAGGTTCTGGCCAACAATGGCCTCAATAACTCCGCCTATTGCATGCCATGAAGTCAGGAAGAAAACACGCAGCACTTCTGATTATAATTAAACTCCCTAAGGACAGGTCTATCCAATATTTCCCAAAAGTCAAAGAGAAAACTTCTTACCCTCCATGAAGTCAGGAAGAAAACACGCAGCACTTCTGATTATAATTAAACTCCCTAAGGACAGGACTATCCAATATTTCCCAAAAGTCAAAGAGAAAAATTCTTACAGCGATGATTCAAAAGCCTGGCTGTTTCAGAATAACTATTTTATCCAGTCTCTTAAATAATATACTACATAACTCTTTTGTTAGGAAAATCTCCAAAGATCAACGTTAATCTATGTATTTAGATATGGTTTAAATGAAATCACTGATATGTACCTTTCGTGCATCTCTTTGGCTTCTCTCTCTTTCCTTTTAATTTCCAGCTCAGCAAAAAGTTTCATGGTCTGTTTATATACTGCTTGTTTGAACTATAAGAATATTAAAAACAAAAAAATTAAATATTTTACTAGCAACTTGAGTCAAGTACTTTCAGTTGGATCTCAACACAAAAGCAGATTAGAACCCAGCAAGAAAAAAAGATTCTTCAGAGAGAACCACTAAATGATGCTGTCTCTCTTGGGAGATAAAAAACACATCCACCTATGAGATCTTTCCATTTTCACCATGCAGATGACACACAGGAACCTAGCTCTAGTAAAAAGCACCAATAAGAAAAATTCTACACCCATCACCACCACTTAAGATTTTGGAGGGTGCTTTCCTCAAAAGAGCTTGCAAAAATAACTTTCATTCTTTCTTTTACAAATATTTTATAATTATCCATACTGTGCCAGTCACTGAGTTAGAAACTAGGAATATGAAGTTGTTATCTAGCAGACCAGTGTCAAGGGTCTACTGACTGTGGCAGAGCTACTAGTTGTCCCCTCTACTATAACCCCATATCTTAAGGAACAAGCAACCCAACATAAAAGGCTGTATTTCCCAAGCTCCCTCATAGCTAGGTGTGGCCATGTAACTTAAGTTTCAGTCAACGGGATATAAGGAAAAATGAAGTATACAACTTCTAGAATGTTCTTAGAGGGAGAAGGCTTATTTCTTCTTCCTCCTTCCCTCTGGATTCTCTTTGGTACATGGATGAGGTAATGAGACATCCTGGACAATAAGGACGAGGGCAACATCCTCATTGGCAGAGCCACAGAAAGGAGTAGACTGGGTCCTTGGATAACAAATGGTACAGAGCTGCCATACCAGCAGCCATCTTCCAGTGAGTGAGTGAGTGAGCGAGTGTGTGTGTGGGGTGTGTGTGTGTGTGTGTGTGCACGCACGCATGTGTGTGTGTATTTTTTTGTGTGTGACTGGTCAATAGGGGGATCCAAACCCTTAACCTTGGTGTATTAGTACCACACTCCCCAAAGACTTCTACGGGAAAGAAAACACAAATCTCTATCTTGTTCGAACCACCATCATTTTGTGTCTCGGTTGCATACATCTGAACTTATACTCTAAACACACTAACAGAAACAGATAACACAGCATTAGGTAGAAAACAGTAAGGCAAAGAGACTTTCTTAAAGTGTATTATATAACAGTCATTCAAAGGTAGGTAGGAGGCCGGCCTGTGGCTCACTTGGGAGAGTGCGGTGCTGATAACACCAAGGCCACAGGTTCAGATCCTATATAGGGATGGCCGGTTCGCTCACTTGGGAGAGCGTGGTGCTGACAACACCAAGTCAAGGGTTAAGATCCCCTTACCAGTTAAAAAAACAAACAAAAAAACCAACAAAGGTAGGTAGGAATGGAGGTTATTATTAGAATTTGTAAGAATTACAGAAAAATAAATGAAGATAAATGACCTAGCTTCTATAATACAAAGTTAATAAAATCACCACCAGCTTTTAATTCTTTACATTCAGTAGAGCTTATACTCTTGCTCTATCTTTAAAACTTTTTTCCCCAGATAAAAGGGGTTCTTTTGTTGGTTTTTTTTTGGTGACTGGACAGTACAGGGATCCAAAACCTTGACCTTGGTGTTGTAACATAGCACTCTAACCAACTAAGGTAACCAGACAGCCCCATAGAAAGTATTTTAAATATACATGGAAATACAGAAAATAATCCATCATGCAGATTTAGTAGGGCCTATATCCTAAAATCAGAAACACTAGAGCAAAAAATGATGTACAGAAAAAAAGGGAAATAAAGGAGCCCTCAAATTTCTATCACTTCTCTTTAATACTACTACCGGCCAGGCATCGTTCAGTGAAAGCAATGCTGACAAACCAAATAAGTACAAACATCAAAGGGGTGAAGGAGTCTGTAAAGAATATTTCAATAGCTCTAAAAGTTCCAAACTCTCCTTGATGGACAGATACTGGTGACTTTTAATTTTTTATATTTTGCTGCTTGTTCAAAATTTTCTGTCATTAACAGATGTTAAAGAATATTTCAATAGCTCTAAAAGTTCCAAACTCTCCTTGATGGACAGATACTGGTGACTTTTAATTTTTTATATTTTGCTGCTTGTTCAAAATTTTCTGTCATTAACAGATGTTCCTTTATTTATTTTTTTTTTAAAGATGACCGGTAAGGGGATCTTAACCCTTGACTTGGTGTTGTCAGCACCACGCTCAGCCAGTGAGCAAACCGGCCATCCCTATATGGGATCCGAACCCATGGCCTTGGTGTTATCAGCACCGCACTCTACCGAGTGAGCCACGGGCCCGCCCTGTTCCTTTATAATAAGGAAAAAAAGCAACTAAAAAGTGTTAAGTTTCTTAACAACTTAGGATGATCAAGGAGTATTCGTAAACATCTTCAGAAAGACTAAAGAGGACAATTAAGGAAAGGGAAAATAGGACTGAGGAGATAATACTAAGATAGTCGAACAGAGTAAGCCCAAATCAGGTGGCTAACAGAAAAGCTGACCTAATTGTTCTCAAGCAGTATCACCACAAAGATGAGACTATTCACTGTTAGCAAAGTCACTGCAGCAAGAAGCTGCAAGGAAGTTTCCCTAGCAAGACAGCCTGTCCTTTATAAATCTTTAAAACACAAGATAAGTATGTGATAAGATTTAAGATGACTTTAAATTTTTCAGGGGGAGGGATGTTAGGGAGAAATTGGGTAAGGGACACAAAAAATAATTACAATTTATAATAATGAACATGCTAATAATACTGATTTGATCATCACATATTATACGTGAATACTGATAGTCAACTCTGTACACAATAAATATGTGTAATCAATTAAAAAAAGTATCACTCCAAAAAATAAATAAATAAAATAAAAATTTCAGGCTAGTAGGTGAAGGGTTCAGATCTCCATACTGGCCAACTGTAACACCAAGGTCAAGGATTCAGATCCCCTCACTGGCCAGCCACCCCCTAAAAACATTTTTTTTAGGCTAGTGAGACAATCAGATAAATAATTAAGTAGAATCTCTCTCCACTAATCTCCACTAAATAACCCAAAGGATTAATCAATGCTCTCCATTTCCTCTGTAAAACATCACCTGGAGCACGATGAGCTATCTTTTTACCAAGAGCCAGCTGTGTTGTTCCCAAAGCTGTCTATGTCAGTTGCAACTACTATTATAGTTATGTAATTTAATTGGTAAATGTGGTTATAAAAGTAAATGTTTGTTGTTTCTTTGAAGATTCGATAAACAAGAGTCCCTAAAGATAATTGCTGTTGAATTAGTTATAGGTGAGACATCTGGAAAAGACTGAAAAAAGAATGATAGAGCTGGCCAGTCAGCTCAGTTGGGAGAGCATGGTGCTGACGGTTAGAAAGTGGTGTTATAAGGAAAAGGCCAAGGATTTGGATCCCCATACCAGCCAGCTGCCAAAAAGGAAAAAAAAAAATCATAATCCAGGATTTTGCTCTTGGTTTGCTTCACAAGTACCTAAGTTTTCAATGTACTTCAAAAGAAATTCCAAGTAGAAACTATAGGGGCTAACCAGCTTGGGTTACAGTGTGGTGCTGATAACACCAAGTTCCAGGGTTCAATCCCTGCTTTGGCCAGCTGCCACAAAAAAAAAAAAAAGTAGAAACTATAGATAATATTTTATGTATGGCTTATAAAATAGTCAACTGCAAAGTTGTTCACTCAAAGAAAAGGCCATAGCCCTACATCAAAAAGAGAGTAAATCAGGGCCAGCCCGTGGCTCACTGGGGAGAGTGTGGTGCTGATAACACCAAGGCCCCGGGTTCGGATCCCATATAGGGATGGCTGGTTCGCTCACTGGCTGAGCGTGGTGCTGACAACACCAAGTCAAGGGTTAAGATCCCCTTACCAGTCATCTTTTAAAAAAAAAAAAAAAAAAAGAGAGATTAAATGAAAATGAAAAACGGTGAATGAATGTACATTCACATGTTTTTAAGTTAAAATGTTTATAGCATGTATTCATCATTCTTTAGGCTTCCCTCTGTTTAACTCACCAATCAGTGGACCCAACCAAACAAGGTGGCTTTTCACATATTTAACTTACCAGCTCAGGGTCATCCTCCTCTACATTTGTAGGTTTTCCTTCCTTCTTTAATTGTTTTTTTCGCTCTTTCACCTAAAAAGAATTTTTTTCATCAAAGGATGAGCACCCATACTTTGACGATAGCCACTGAGCAGTACACATATGACATGTGCACTTTTCTGTAGGTAATTCTATAACAAAAAGTTGCATTAAAAAAAGATGAATCTCCCCTCCACCCCCCAAACAGCAATGCAATCAAGGAAAACTAGGAACTATGTGTCCTTTCTCTAACCTCATCTAAAATCCAATATACCAGGAAGGATGAAAGGGGACCAGGTGTGGGTTGTTCCCAACTCATCAGATCCTAGCCAGATTCAAAGAGCCTTTGATACATTGACCAGATCACCCAATTATCTTTTTCTGCTTGTGGTTATGTGTTTATAGTAAAGAAAATGTATTTATCAAGTTTTAGAAGATGCTACAGAATTTGTGGCACTAAGTGTAAGTAGTGTTTTTCTAGCATTTCTAACTGCATTCTTGATAATTTTCATTGTGAAACACTCTTAAACCAATAATTGTCACATCACATTAACTGATATTTTTAATCAATTTGATCATAACTGAGATCCAAAAAAATTAAATACATCCATTCACACAAGAATGACACTACTCCATTAAGTAACCAGTCTACTACATCAGCAAAAAGCCAGGTTTCTTCCAAGCTCAGAAAGGCTCTGCTGCCACCTTGTGATCAGGAAGCCTAAAGATGACTTCCTTACAGGTAAAATACAGAGGAAGGGTAACTGCCACAATGATTTAAGGAGAAAGTGTCAGGCAGTTTTCTTAATTCTACCAGGATTGAACCTACAAGTGCCATTTCCAAAACATGACTGGCAGAACACAGATATAGCCCTTTGTCTCCTCTTTTTACTCATTTTCCTCATCTAAACTGAATTAATTACTATTATTGACCACAAAGTTCTGTTTTAGATTCCAAAACTCTTCAAATGAAAAGTCACATCCACATTCACTCCCGATTGAAAAAGCTCTTATAAATGGCCTCAAGATTCTTGTCCCAGCAAGTAAAAAATTAAAACAAAGACCTTTCTTACCTCAAGCAAGCCATCTTAACATTCTCCACTACTTAGGAGATTTATGTAATGCCCCAAGAACAACAATAAGGACGAAAACACCAGCTATAACTGAATTTCTTTCCACTGAGTCCTTCCCAACCCTGTTGTTAATATGGACACATACCTCCTATTTTTTGAAAAAAATTTACTCACCTCCCCTTGCTAGCCTTTCTCAAACCTGTTCTGAACCTTTCACAAGGATAAGAGTAAAAATCAAGACACATGTCACCACAGCTGCTTCACTTTTCCACTCTCAGAATGGGGTAATGTGGCAGTCTGTGATAAAAGGGCAGCAAGAGCTCTCTCTTCACAACACAGGACTGGTAGGGAAAGAGGTAGGAGCAGTGTCCCAGTGTCCTAGCACTCCTCATCCTGAGCTCTTCTCTTAGGGGTGAATTATAGCTTTAGGCACACACTATTTATGACCACCAAAGCAAAGTGGTGGAGACCATATACGCAGTCACAAGTTATGCCAGTAGGCATTACTATGTTAATATTTACCCTCCTACAAGGTGCCCAAGGCTTGCTGATACTTCCTGTAAATACAGCAGCACTATAAATACTTACAGTGTGTTCCACGTATTCTTTTCCTGCCTGAATTACATCCAGGGCCCTCTTCTTTTGTTCCTGATCCAGTAGCAACTTGTAAGCTTTGTCCACAGCTAATGCAAAACATTGAAGTTAACTGTTTCTGCAAACACCCTCTAAAAGTCTGAACTATACTATACTCAGGCAGTGCAAATGGACTTGTTTCATCTGAAAGCATTCCCTACTTTGTTAATTTATTTACGGTTGATAAGGTAATTAAAAAAAAAACAAAACTCATAGCAATGACTTTCCTTGAGAGCCTTAGGAAAAATTAAATATACACTCAAGGCTAAATATACAACATCTAGATTTAATCCGGTGATACAATATTTCCAATATTCTTTATGTTCAAAGAAATAATGATCCTATGTAATAACAGTCTTTGTTGGCACACACAAGTTTTAACAAAGCAAAGTTAAGGTCTACTTAAACAGCAACATTCTGCTTTGGAAGGACAACTGTTCTACTGAAAACCACAGATTCTTCATGACCAGAACATAAAACAAATACATTCTTTTCTTGATCTAGGACAAGGACCAGTTATTCCCTAACACTGACAATATACTATTCAGAAGCAGGTAAATTTACAAATACCTTCAAAAGCCTTTTGTGCTCTGTCAGCATCATCTTGATTTTTGTCAGGATGCACCAATATGGATAACTACAACAAGAAAAGTTAGGTTTGTTAACAAGAGAAACACTTAGTAACTCCCAGCCTGTACTGTCTCTCTTTACAACCAAAAGCTCTAGGATACTATGGCAAAAAAAAAAAAGACTTAGCAAGAAGCATTTTTTTTAAATTATCAAATCTCGGGCCAGCCCCGTGGCTCACTCGGGAGAGTGTGGCGCTGGTAGCACGGAGGCCATGGATTCGGATCCTATATAGGGATGGCTGGTGCGCTCACTGGCTGAGCATGGTGCTGACAACACTGTGCTGGGGGCTGCAATCCCCTTATCGGTCAAAAATAAATAAATAAAATAAAATAAAAATTATCAAATCTCATAAAATGCCCAGAAATACTAGTCTTTAACAAAATTCAAGCACCAAAAAGTAAATGTACAACTAGGAAACATTCAGGGTTTTAATTATAAAGTTGAGAACAAATGGAAGTCTAGCATTATGAAGATGTTGTAATAATTTGGAGGAGGAGGAAGACTGAAAAGTACCAAGTACCCATTGTGATCCTTATACTGAGCACCAAGAGGGATAAAGCAGGTATGAGACATCATCTCATTCCTAAAAGAACTTTTTTTTTTTTTTTTTTTTTAAAGATGACCGGTAAGGGGATCTCAACCCTTGGCTTGGTGGTTGTCAGCACCACGCTCAGCCAGTGAGTAAACTGGCCATCCCTAACAGGATCTGAAACCATGGCCTTGGTGTTATCAGCACCACACTCTCCCGAGTGAGCCACGAGCTGGCCCTTAAAAGAACTTCTAATATAAAGCAGTGGTTCTCAGTTCTGGCTATGCTCCAACCCTGTGAAGCTTTTTAAAAATACAGAGGTCTATTTTCTACCCTCAGACCTTCTGAATCCATCTCTGGCATCTGTACTTTGTAAACCTCTACTAGACTGGGTTTCAGATGATAGTAAGGAATCAGTTTTAATTCTGCTACATGTGATAAGCAGTTATGCAAGAAAATGTCCCTTTTTATTTTGTTGGAATACAGGCTGAAGCAGTTAGGGGTAAAGCATCATGGGGTCTGCAATTTACAATGATTTACTCAAAACTATATAGGTAATGGGCTGGCCCGTGGCTCACTCGGGAGAGTGCGGTGCTGATAACACCAAGGCCGCGGGTTCGGATCCCATATAGGGATGGCCGGTTGGCTCACTGGGCGAGCGTGGGGCTGACAACACTAAGTCAAGGGTTAAGATCCCCTTACCAGTCATCTTGAAGAAAAAAAAAAAAAAACTATATAGGTAATGGGCTGGCCCGTGGCTCACTCGGGAGAGTGCGGTGCTGATAACACCAAGGCCGCGGGTTCGGATCCCATATAGGGATGGCCGGTTGGCTCACTGGGCGAGCGTGGGGCTGACAACACTAAGTCAAGGGTTAAGATCCCCTTACCAGTCATCTTGAAGAAAAAAAAAAAAAAAAAAAAAAAACTATATAGGTAATGAAGCAAACGGTTGCATATAGATGGTGGGTATTCATTACTCCATTTTCTTTTTTAAATATAAAATTTTTATAATAAACTTTTAAAAGAAGCCAAGGCTGGCCTGTTAGCTCAGTTGGTTAGAGAGCAGCCTTGTAACACCAAGATCATGGGTTCAGATCCCCTTACCGGCCAGCAGCCCCAAAGAAAACACAAAAAACAAAGTTTAAAAAAAAAAAAATTTCCATAGGTGATTCCTTCAGACATCCACATTTAAGAACCAATGACTCCTTACAATGTCTTCTTCAACAACAACAAATAAAAGAACCATTGCTGACGTACTGTCATCAACAGACAGAAACCAATTAGTTGGAACAGAAGAAACTGTGTTGAGGGATGACAGCAAATGAGAATCTAATGTTAAATCCAGCATTACTGGAGCCATAATCCTGGGTTCTAATTCCAACATCAATCATTTACTAGCTATGAGACCTTGAGCAACTCACTTAACCTATCTCTGCCTCAGTTTCCTGCTCTGTAAATGGGACAATAGTAGGTACCTCCATCTAATTGGGTTGCTGTAAGGATGAAATAACGCAAGTAAAGAAATTAATATACTATTTAATACACATTGACAATAGTTAGCATATAATGAGAACATGCTATGCATCAAGACTTATTCTAAGTATGTTGTGTCTAATACCTCATTTAAATCCCTATAACAACCTCAAAGGATATACAAATGAGGTAACAAGCACAGAAATGTTGAAAGTTGCCTGAGTTCACCCTGCTTGTAAATGGTACAGTCAAGATTTAAGCTAAAGTCATATAGCTCCAATGCCCACATTCTTAACTATTAGGCCATATTAACGACTCCATAAAAATTCTTGGCACTTATTAAAGAGTTCTTTACATAGCTACATAAAAAGTTATTTTGACTATGGACCTGAATGCTTGCTCATTAAATTGGGAAAGACTGCTAATGCATTATATTAGGAAACTTAAAATTTTAGAAGAAAATAAGCTAAATATAAGTGCAGAATAGAGCTCAGGAAGAAAAAAAGCTATAAAGTTATATAACAAGAAATGATTGAGCAGGCAAAGATTTTTTAAAATCTTGGCTTGATAGATCAGAAGATGACTATGAGTCAGCGACAGGGGGAAAATTACTGTATTGAAGAAGCAAGCACAACACTGAATATTAACAAGTATGTCATGCAGAAGCTAAGAATTACATTCAACACTGGTCAGGCCCTATTCAAATATGAAATACAAAAGGGGTATAAAAAACTTAAAAAAAAAGGTTATTATAAAAGGTTACTAGAAAACTTTGTAGGTCCAGTTATTAAACATAAGAATGCACAAGAATCAGAGGAGATCTCCTCTGATTCTTTTAAAAAGCACTTTTTATAGTAAACCAGGTATCTCTCTGGTATTCATTTATGTTAGCAAAAAAAAAAAATTATTAAGAAATGGGGTCTTAGGGCCGGCCCGGTGGCACACTGGATGGTGCGCCGCTTGGGAAGCGCGGCAGCGCTCCCGTCCGAGGGTTCGGATCCCATATACAGACCGGTTCCCGCTCACTGGCTGAGCGAGGCGCGGGAGCAACACCGAGGTTTGCGATCCCGTTGCCAGTCCCCGGTCCGGTGCGGGGGCAACACTGAGGGTTGCGGTCCGTTGCTGGACACGGAAAAAAAGACAAAAGACAAAAAAAAAAAAAAAAAAAAAAAAAAAAAA